GGTCCGCCCGCCGCCCTGTACCGCCCGCCGCTGCCCTTCGCCGCCCTGCCCGGCGCCGCGCCGCCGCCGCTGCTCTGCTTCTCGCCCTCCGTGCCCGCCGCGGCCACAGCGACCGAGCCCTTCCCGCAGACGCAGCGCAAGGTGCTGCTGGACGTGAGCACCGGGCAGTACTACCTGGTGGACACGCCTGTGCAGCAGCCCCTCAAGCGGCGCCTCTTCGACCCCGAGACCGGGCAGTACGTGGAGGTGCCGGTGCCCCAGCAGCCGGCCGTGGCTCCCGTCCCGCTGCCTCTCTCGCCCCTTGCTCTCAACGCCGGTGCCTATGGCACCACGTACATGCTCTACCCCGGGCTCCTGCCCGCCGCCACCGTGCTGCCCGCCGGCGCCCTGCAGCGCCCGCTGTCCCACTCGGGCAGCGACGGCAGCGCCCCGGCAGAGCCTGGCAGCCCCGCCGCGCCAGAGGCAGCTTTTGCCGAGAGCCCCTACTACGTGGCTACCAGCAAGGGGCCGCCGCCGCCGCGGCACGGGGCAGCCGAGGCCAAGCCGGTCATCAGCATCACAGCGCCGGCCACCGGCCCGCGGATCGTCGCGCCGCCCTCCTTCGACGGCACCACCATGCGCTTCGTGGTGGAGCACCGGTGAAGAGCGCGGGTGAGTGCGTGTGTGCTGCCTGTCGGGCCCGGCAGTCACCCGTGATGGGTCAGGGCAGAGCGGGTTAATGTGCAAATGACGGCCGCGCCGCAGCTTCTCCTCAGGGGAGAAAGGGTCCACAGGGGCCCTCACTAGGGTGTAAAATACAGAAAGGTTAGGCACACCACTCCGTGCAGTTCAGTAGTCCTTGGAGCTTCTTTTTTTGGCAGTTTCAGAGAAGCACACCGTAGCCACTCATCACACAACCTGTATTTGTGCAACCCCATGGCTGGGGCACCTCCCATTGCTCCCGGGAATGGCAGTGTGGTTGGGCATCTCTGGATTCATCATCTGGACTCATCTTGCAAGCCATGAAAGAGCCCCTTCACCTTGGCATCACATCTTCCTCTTGTCTCACCTCTTACCTCTTCCTCCCCAGGGGAGGTGAGCACCTCTCTCTTTCCCCTGTACCTATTTCTTCCCAACCTCAAGAAGAGTGGGAGAGGGGTCTAATGGAAGCAAACCCTTATTTTGGGTCCTTCTTGTTAGTGGGGTGAGAAAGCAGGATGCATGGAGCAGTCCCAGGTGTGCTCTCCGGGAGCCGTGGGGCTGCTGGCAGGGGCAGAGGTGCCCACAGCTGCCTGTGCTGTGCTGCAGGAGGGCTCCCCGGGGCTCTGCTGCAAAGCACAGTTTTACACAGCACCTCTGAGCTTGTAGTGCCAGAGTCCTGACAGTGTCCAGCTACCTGGGGCTGTACCCAGGGCCAGCCTCCAAACTCAGGGGTGTGCATGCAGGGACACTGAGCTCCTGTCCTTTCAGCATGCACTGAAACTGGTGTGGTGCAGCATGTCCTGTGCAAAATAACCAAGGAACATTTCATGTTAAAAGACCTAAAACATTGCAGAAGTGCCTTCAGGACTGGTGTCACTGCTCCTTCTGCCTCTTGCATTAGAATGCATGGCTCATCTTTATCACGTGCAGTATTAGGTAGAGCTGCCAAATCTTTTGTGGCTTACCAAGAATTCACAGAGTTGGTTTTTTGGTGTGTATGAAAAGGCAGAGAGAAAGAGTGGAAGAGTGGCGACAGCCAGAAGTTTGGGTTTGTCATCAGTTTGTGCTGAGCTTTGCCCCGTTGTATGCTTGAGGGTAAATTTTGTCTTCCAGCACTTGCGTTATTTATTTTGCATTAATTTTTTTTTGTTTGCATCACCTACTACACAGTAGATTATTTGTTGAATGAAACCTTAGCAATGTGATTTATACACTTACTTCTCTGTTTGTAATTATTTTATCTTGAAAGTTCCTTTCTTTTATCCTGGCTGTGGATGAAGTTGTTTTCATTGGCCCTTATGGGTCACTCAGGACAGGCAACGTGCCAGTTTAACTTGAGCTCTGCTGTGCTGCTTGAGTTCATCTTGCCAGTAAAGTCAGAGAACCTAGATGAAATGGCAGAAAGTAGTTCATTATTTTCCCTTTGGTCTGGAGGCTGAATTGAGATGGCTAGCAGAAGGGATTTGTTAGATTTCAGATGAGAGATTTGACATTTTTTAAAAGGTGGGATATATAGTAGATGTATTTGTAACACTAACTAAACAAAAACCTCCAGCTTTTCTTGTGTCTTTTTCACTCTTTAAAAGTGCAAAACATCATATTTCCTGGTGTGCCCTGTCCCTCAGTTCCCAAAGGATTGTCCTGTTATCATGTACTTAGCTTGCCTTCAGTGCCTGGTGAGGCAGGTGATGCTCTCACCAAATTGCTCTTTCTCACAGGTGGAGTTAAAACAGCAGCCCTGCTTTGTTGTGCTGTGTCAGAGCTCTACCACGGCAGAGCTGTGTGAAAGCTGCCCCAAAAGACTGGTGGTGCATGCTCAGTGCAGAAGGTCATTCAGCAGGGTGCAGACTTGAGTTTCATTTGCCATCCTTTCAACCTTGGATCATGCCAAGGCATTTGCTGTCTCATACAGACAGGGGTGTCTGGGCTGTCCCAGACCTGCTGAGGGAGGTGTCCTGCTGCTGGACAATGGATGCACTTTTTTTCCTTGACCTGTTCTGACAGTCTTAAAAGAAATAAATTTAACTGCATGGTGCAGGATGTGTTTAACTTGTCATTAGACTTTGGTTATTCCTGTATCTTATCTCTCTGTGGAAAATGAGGTAAATGCCAGAAGGGCATCACATCTGTAACCTTCTTCTTCCTGTTATTTTCATTCACCTACATGACTTTCATGTCCCTGTGGATAATTTTTCCTCTTTTTCTCTCTTTTATTATCTGCTTTATCTTTTGTTTTCCATTCTTTTCCTCTATCTGTTGGCATTCCATTCCTGATGAAAAGCATTTGTTTCCTCAGGGTAGTGTTTTTCCCCTAACAAGAACAGCAGTAAAATTTCATGTGAATCTAAGGGTGAACTGTTGCTAACATTTTTTAATTCCAGTTAATTGCTTTCACACCAGACCAGGGTTTTTTGATTGCAGCAATGCTGTGCAGATGCTAAAATGGATTTTAAAGCAGCCAGATTTCATCCTTTGAGTGTGAGAGTTGGATAACGTACTGTCCTTTCAGGTCCCTTTTTTTTGCTAGGCAAAATGAGCTGAATGGATGCTCTTTTTCTCCACTCCTGAATTCCTTTCTGCACTGCACATACTCTCTTCTTAATTTCTTTGCCCAATTTCTTTCACATCTTCATTCACAAACTGTACCACTGTGTAAAGGACTGCTCCATCTTGGTCTCTGTCACCTGTGGGGGTCAGTGTGACTTGAAGTTTTGCTGGTGGTGTGATGCCTGCGGTGGATTGACACCGAATCCCCTGCACATCTGCTGCTCTTCCAGCTCTTCCCTTTGTATCTGGTGCTCTTTTCTGCATAATCATTGGGATGAAATGGATCCCATCAGTTTGTGTTCTGACAAAATCCAAGCCGCCATTTCTGAACTATTCTTAAGTTCTTGATATGCAGAAAATAGTGGAAAATATGTGCATATTTCTGAGCAATATCTTATGCTTGCTTCTCTCCCTCCTCTTCTTCACTCCCAGTAAATGGGGAGCTTTAGCAACATCATCCTTGGCTGCTGCACTTCTTCCTTGATGCTAATTTTCAGTGCAAATAAACTTGCATCCAAGCCTAGACAGAAGCAGCCTGTAGAGAGTGAACTGCCTGACAGGAGCTCATTCCCAGTAGGAGTGAATGAAAATGTGTCTTTAACTTTTGTATCTCTTCCCATATTTTACTCTCTGGAGTTTCTGCCTCCTGTTAGGTAAATAAATGAGAAAAGAAAAGGTAGCAAAGTAGAAAGCAACTGTAGTAAACTGTACTGCCAATATTGGAAAGGTATTTTTTATTATTCTCTTTAAACCATGAGCATAAACACCTTACAGGTACAGGAATACATAAGCAAATATACTTATCAGTTGTGTTTTCTTCTTAATTGCTATCACATAATCTATGCTTTCCTTTGAAAATTAATTTTGTGTGGACAGTATATAAAAATGATTTTAAAGCCTCATAAATTGGTATTTTTACACTTTGTTTTAGTTGTTCCCTGTTCATGAGGATGTATGTTCCTCATTACTAAGTCAAGAAGTCAGCTTACAGCGTAATATGCAGTACAGAGGTACTTATGCTGATGCCTTTGCTGAGAATTTAGTAAAGAATTTATCCAGTTTTAGTGGGAAGTACTGGAATATTCCAAGAACCAAGCAGGCTCTAACACTTGATCTAGTAAATCAGTCTACAAATGGATATAGGTGTGACCTTGTGCTCAAAACTGTGGCTACTTAGGAAACATTTCAGTAATGCTGAGCCTTGGTACCAGTAAAAGTTCGTGGTGGCCTTAATGACTCCTCCTGCCCAGGATGATTTCCTGAGCCAGTATTTAAGAGCTAACTGCACAAATCTTAGAGCACGTGGGTGTGGGTTGTTTCCCTTTTCCTGATGTGTTCCATGCTGGATGCTGTGCTGGTGAGGAGAGCGCCCAGGTCTTGAACAGCGCGGGTGGATCGCTGAGATCCCGCATAGGTGACGTTGGCCTCTCTCCACCTGTGTCCCTGGGGCTCCCCAGGACCTGTGTGCTGGGAGCCGTGGGGTTGGGAGGCACAGCACGTTCCACACCTTGAGCAGCAAGGATGGGTTCTGCTCTAAACACCAGGGCTGCCCAGCAACTGGCTCGGTTTGCAAACCTGGGTGCCCTTGGCTGATTGCTGGCAGTAGCCTAGGAAATGAGGAGCAGGAACAGTGTGACGACAAAGGAGGTATTTATGCACTTCTCCAGAGGAGTAAAGATTGTTCAGATTGTTGTGGCAGTGCTCTAACAATCTGTATTAATGATGCTTTTCTGGTTTTGTTTGTTTGTTTTTCCACAGGGATAAGGAAGAAGAATTGTGCTTCTTTAATTTGAAATACACCTGGTAACTCTTCAACATTAATCCTAAAAACTGCTTCTACAGTTTTCTCAATTTTTTTTGCTTCATCATACAAAACAAGCATGTAAGTTTCTTGTTTTCTCCTAAATGCCCCCCTGTTTTGGAGTATGCCTACATTTAATTATGTGAGCAGCACTAAATTACTGCATTATTTTGTGCAAAGTTCTTTTTGTACTGAAGCCGATCTGCAGGCTTTAGGCATTGCCTCTGTGCTGGTAGCTAATGGTAGTGATGCCACTACAGCTGTTTGTAAAATGCAGGGTGAAAATGCAGCAGTGTTTCAGTGTGGATCACCACACAGCTTCGTTCAGGTCCCTGGAATGTGTTGTGATGATCCAGTGCAGCCCTGCAGCTCTTCAAAAATGAAATTAAGCCCTCAGTTCTCTCCTATTGCAGTAAATGAGGGTCTTCCATACAGGTTTTAGTCACAATTTGCAATCAGATGGTTTTTTGTACTCTCTGCTTCTCACTTGGAATTGCAAAGGAAGAGAGCTGTAGTGTTAAATTTATCCTTAGTGTTTATTTTTGCTATGGTTCAAAACAAACTGTGTAAGTGTCAGAAAACACATTTGATTGCTTTCATTTTTTGTTTGCTCCTCTGTACTGTGTTGAATATCACAAGTTGCCTTAATTAGGACAGAGTTTAAATACTGGGAAACCAGAAATTGAATGTAATATTTTAAAATCCTGGTTCTAAAGGTGAGAAAAGCATTTATTTTCCTTTAAGACCGCAGTCTGTTCTTCCTTAAATTGCAACATTGTTGAAAACATAATCCTAGTCACTGCCCTGTGAGATTCATTTTTAAATGTTACAGCCTCAATACTAAGGAGTTGTTTCTTTAGCTGTTTGACAGGTTCATCTGAGGGCTAAAATTACAATTTTCTAAGAAAATACTTACCTTTTGAACAAAAAAATATGCAATAAGGTTACTGACAGTGCAGTGATTTATATGTCCAACTCTGCTCAAACTGATTGTTTTGTTACCAGCAACTAGTTTGTCTCAGCAGCAGAGAATTGTTATTATGACAGTAAAACTGAAGTTCAATAGTCTGTTCCCTGCCCAAAATTTTGGTTTTGGGAAGCAAAGAAATTTGAGACCAAACCTAAATGATATAACATAAAGCTTTCTTGAGGTAACAGATTAGAATTTTGAAGTCTAAATGCAAATCCCAAAAGTCTTTATTTAAGCATTTGCCCACAGGCAGGATTTTTCTCCACCTGTTCTCAAGGCTTCCTGCAGCTAGGAAAGCTTCCCATTTTTAAAATAAGTCCTGGGTTTTCATTTTCCTGAGTAACTCACGAGGTACAGAAAACTCAGGTAGAACTGTCTTTAAGCACGTGTGTGAGATTGTATCTCAGTGCAATTTATTTGTTTACAGGCACAAATTGTAATTGCCCTCAGGATGAAATGCACTACAAGTGTGCAGATAGCGAGTGATTTCTCATGTACCTTCTCTCTCATTTTCACCCTTGTGGAAATCCAGTGACTATTCCAGCCCTTTCTGAAGAGCTTGGTGTGCCCAGCTAGAGCACAGCTCGTGTGAGGCTCATCCCTGTGCTCTTCAGCTGTGCAGCCTGCATCACAAGCTCTAACTGCCCTCTGGGATGGGGCTGAGTGCCTCTTAGAGGAGACGAATGCTTCTCCACCTTTCTCCTGACTGATAGGTGTTGTGATTAGAGTATCAGTGTTAGACACAACCGTACTTGGGACTGCAGGACAGTGCAGGTACCAGAGTGGATGGCTCCCTGTGACATACACGTTCAGTATAATACTAGCATCCCTGTTCCACAGTGTTCCTGTCCTACCTTTTCCTATATCGGTGCTCGGAGCGGAGTTTCCCGTTGCAGTTTACAAGATATAGGTTTGCACACACAACCTCAGGTTTACAGTTTCACCCGGTGTACTTGAAAGGAAAAAAAAAAAAAGCATAGAAAACAGCTGCCCAGGATTTGAACATGTGTTTGTTGGAGGTAAATTTTGCAGGGTTTTTTTTTCACTGCCTGTGGAGATGAAAGCAATGAAATGAGGGAATACCAACAGCTATTTATTTTCTCAGGGGAGTTTACTTCAGTGGAATGTGTCAATCCTAATGTCAAACAGTGTTTACTTGATTTTGTCTATTACTAAAAAGACTTCTTGTTTGTATCAAGGGGTCAGTTTTGCAAGGTGCTTCGCTTCGCTAACCCATCAAAGCCTTCACATGCATCTCCAACTTCAGACACTTAAGCAGACTCCTGGGGACTTCAGTGGAAGGATTTTTTCCTTCACCCATCTATGCAAAGCTTTGCTGAACTCATCCCAGAGTGCCGAATGCCTTGCAGACCTGAGCACCAGGTTCTTCTCTTTGCAGAACCCGATCTCTGGGCTTGAGTCAAGCCGGACCCAGCAGATAATGCCACAAAAGGTCACCAGAAAAAAGCTCTGGTAATATGGTGCTCCTCCCTGTATACGAGTGGTGAATTTCTCCAGTGCATGGGGTGATGTGTAACCACGTATCTTGGATTAGAGTCAAACCCTCCATGTCAGGGCTCACAAGCTGCTAGTATTATATGTTTCACGGTGCAGTCATAGTATGTTACAGCTGAAATTCACCCCATGTGCAAAGCAGGGCAAAATCCTGTGCACCACTCAAGTTCCCTCCCGCTCCTGCTCTCAGCCTTTTGAGGGCTGCGCCAGCCTACTGTCCATGCATTTTAGGTCAGGATCCAGTTAAAAGTTTGAGGGGAACTGGAGTGATGCACCAGGATGTTGTTCTGGTCTTTTGCAACAGGGTTGGTTTCACTCAGTATCAAATTCAGCCCTTGGTGAATCAACTGGTGAATGATTTGAAATGTATTTATGGGTTGTGTGGGGTGTTTTTCCCCCTTGTCTGTATTCAGTGCTACCTTGATTCTTTAGTGTTGATGGCCAAAGTGTCATTCCTTATGCTTATATATTGCCATTAACTTGTGGCTACCTGAGAACACATACTTCAAAAATGCTTGTGCTTTTTTTCACCTATTTCTTTTTTTTTTGTATTTCTTCTTTTTTCCCCCCTCCCCGCCCCTTTATTTTTCCTCTCATTTTTAAAGGGGTGGTAAGTTTTCAGTGTAAAGCTATTTAAAAGTGCAAGTGTGAAGTAAGGATAATGATTGTTAAGAGGATGTGGGTGGTATGTCTGATGAGAGAGGGGTGGGCTGCAAGGCAAAGGGGAAAACGCCGTGAACGCATCGTGTTGATGATTGTTGCCTGTGGAGGAAGAGTTAAGAAACAGAAGATGTCTAACTGGAGAGAAATGGACTCTTTGAGCTGCTCTCAATGGAGACAACACTGTGGCAAGTGTGTAGCTGAAATCCAGAGTGATCCCACTGCAGGGTGCCGCGGGCCTGGGATTGAAGGACGCGGCGTCGCTCTGGGAATTGCGGTGGGAGCACTTCGGAGCGTCACAGCCACGTGAGAACAGAGTGTCTGGAACTGCCAAGTACCAAAGTTTGTAACTGAATGAGTTGGCATTTGTATTATGTTGGGGTTTGTTTTTGTTTTTGTTTTTTTCTCTTGAATGTTATGATAAATAAAATGTATTTTTCAGTAAAAGACACACTGCAAGTAAGCCTGCAGTCCTGCTTGGTTGTATATTTGCAAAGTTACCTTGGCTGTTGTGCAGAACAAGTGAAAACAGAGGCACTACTTGATTTAACATGTAAACAGCAACAGGAGAAAGGATTACACCAGAGAGCACATCAAAAACCCTGCACTCAGAGTCTCCCTGAGTTTGTCCCCGCATTGAAAATCTCTTTCTGACCTGATCTCTCTTTATTCTTTCCTCTTACGACAAAGGGAAGTTGGCATTGCTTATTTTTTTACCCAATTATAATTTAAGAAAGAACTCCCCAGTTTCATTGAACTGTCTTTGACTGGTGAATGGGTTTGGGTATCCAAAGAACTGCAAATTTGTCTGTTGTAATGTGTTCAGAGAGAGCAGTTGGTGGGGTGAATAACTTTTGTATGCCCACTCTCTATGTTATCTTCACTGCCTAATATTGCAATACAAGCAAAGATAAGAGGAGTTTATTAGTGGATAGCATTGTTGCTTGAACTATTGCTAGGAAAAAGTCTTTTGCTGCTTTAGTGTGTTTCTTCTGTCTTCATGGAGATTGAAAAGGTTTCTGTTGTTAAGTCCAAGTGTTTAAAAGAGCATGAGTTAAACACCAAAAAATCCCCAAACAGACTTGAAAACAAAAGTATTACTTTTGCAGTTTAAAAGAACACTTTTGCTTAAAGGAAAACTGAAGCAAGTTGGGTTACCAGGAGATAAAGGGTGACCAAAACAGACACAAAATAATAGTGAGTGTGTAGAGCAGAGAGAAAGACCTTGGATCACTTTATTAAAATCAGAGAGGTCTGAAATTGCAAAGGGACCTGCAGTTGTGAACTGGAAAATTTGGGAACTCTGCTTTTCTTGAAGGAGAACTCCTGGAGCCTGATTTCAGTGGAGCTCTGTTGTAAGATTTTCACAGCACTGCTGGTTTCTCACAATAGATGGAAAATTGAAGCTGAAACCTCCACAAAAGAGAGGTGAAAAGCAAATAAACTGAGAGACATGAACTTGAACCTTTCCTTAAGAAGCCCAGTAATGCAACCAGTGTTTGTCCAGCCACAAAGTGCCTCACACCACACAAATCCACTGAAATTAAAGTATGAGGATTTTTTATGATACCTTAAATAAACTGAAAAGTGGAATATGTCTGGGATTTTCAAGGATTGTTGGAGAAAATCTTGTAAGTTTCTACATAGCCATTAAAATATCACTGGTAGGAGTGATGGTAAAAGTGCAACTGTATTGTGAAAAGGAGTAGGAACAAAGTAAAAATGAGAAGCAGATAATTCCCTGATTAAAACTTAGTCAGATCTAAACAAGCTATCCAAACATAGAACATAATACAAAAAAAAAAAAAAAAAAAAAAAAAAAAAAAAAAAAAAAAAAAAAAAAAGGCACCTATATTAAAATTGCTGACCCCTAGGCTTGTTGCTATTGAGAACTTGTAATCTGCCTGCCAAACCCAAACTCTATCCCTATATATATGAATATTTTTTAAGAGTAGATGAAAAACACTAAAAATTAGCACTCCTGGAAACCTGTAGGGGAAAGTTTCCAAGTCTCTGTTGCTCTATTGCAAGTGGCTTGATTTTTGGACTTAGCTGGATTATCATTGCACTGTTCCTTCTGTGGCTTCCAATTAGAAAGGACCAAGCATTTGTTTGCTTCTCTGAACTTCATGTATTAATTATTGTTTAATTGCTACCGCTGCTGGTTACTTAAAAGTAGATGTAATACCATTACTAAATACATATTGTACATCTTGATTAACCCCCACTGACTGGATTAACAGAGCATTTGCTTTGTTTGTAACCCTAAATGTGTTTTCCCTTCAAATGCAGGCTTGAGCAATGTATTCATTTCACCTTATTTTTAGAAGTTTGTTACTTTTGTTGTTTCCGTAGCTATGGAGCCCAAGTAAGGAAGCCATGGCCTTCCATTACCCAGCTGCTGGACTAAACCTCTCCTGGAATCCCCATTATGTCCAGCTGTTGGGGTCAGATGGCTTCAGAAGCATCTGCTGCCATGCCAGGGGGTATCCATGAAGACATGTATCCCTCCTGAAGGAGCGGTGTGGGTCTCAGGGGCTTGTTTAAGTGTCAAAGCTGTGGGAGGTCCAATTGCCCTTACAGGCTGGTTCTTCAATTTGACACAACTGAGAAGGGGTAAGCCTTGCTGGTAAGGTGTAAGGATTGCTGGTACCAGACAAAGATCTTACAGATATAAATTGCATTATCTAGAACCTTTTTATTCTGATCTTGGGTTGTAAATTGATAGGCAAGCCTGGCAGAGTGGGGCTGAGGTGTCATCTGTTGATATCTCGACTCTTTCCAAGTAAATGAGTGTTGGCAGATATTTCATTGTCCACCTTCTGTGTTTAGGGTGTCAGGTCACCTCAGGAGGAAACTGCCTCTTGCTGGTATGTGAGTAAGTATCTCTACTTTTATTTTTGTTTTGTGTGACACAAAGAGCAAGTATTAATAACAAATGCAAAAGCTTGTCTTCAGCTTGTTCCTGAAGCAGCAGTGGAGGCATCAGAGTGTCTGCAGCAGGGAGCAGACTGTGAGTGGATGCTGAGGGCAGTACTGACCCTGAGGAGCAGTGCCTGGGTCTTTCCTCTGGGCAGAGGGCTGGGGCAGGCACCTCCAGCCCATGGTGCATCCTCGTCTGAGCAGGAGGTCTCCTGATTAGAGAGGGAGCCCGGGATGTGAGTGCCAATTTAAGTTATTGCTTCATATTGTGAAGGTGAGTAAAATGGTTCCTCTTACTCCAATCAACAGCATTCCTTCCCCAATGAGAGGCTTTCCCTACCCAGAAATAACAGACAATAAGACTGGAAACAATTTCTTCACACTGTATTTTTAACCTGTTTTATTTAGGCTTTGACTAGAAATGTGCCAGCATTTTCAGGAAAGACAACAAGCAGACCATTTCATCCCACTGACAGTTTGATTTTTGCAGATTTCTGCACTCTTGGTTTTTTACAACACAAAAGAGTTTGGATTTTTTTCTTAATCTTGTAATAAAATTTTTTCATGACAATTTATGAGTTTTTCCTGCCTGCTTTTGGGTTTGGGTTTTTTAAAAATAATCAATTCTTCTTGGCTTTTAATTTTACTTCAGCATTTGCCCACCTTGTCCTATAAAAAATTAAATCAGATGGATCAGAGGTCAGCTGAGCTGGGATGGGGTATATTCTTTTTTAATCTGTAATGCTGATGTAAAACTTTTTTTTTTCCCACAGATCCTATGAAGACACTGTTTGAAGTGTCTAAGTAATTTTAATCAGAGGACTTCTCTGAGTAGTGATTATAATTTGCATTGAAATACAAGCCTAACTTACCTAGAAGAAAATGTTCTGGCTCAGCACAAGCTTTGCCAGACTGTGCATGCAAAATCTATTTCTTTGAAGATCCTTTCCTTCTTCATAGTTCAGAATTGCCTTAGTGCATGCTCATTTTTTGAAATGCCCCTGCCTTGATTACACACAGGGAGACAAATTTTTAGGAGGCAGCCTTGATGAGCTGCCAGTATTGGCTTAACTCTGCTCCTGCTTCTGGTAGCTACAGAAATTACACCATTGATTTCAATGAGAACAGAATTAAGGCAACTGTAAGTTCTTTCTGGAAACATAACCCCACACTGTTAATCAATTGTATTTAACTACAGCAGTTAATAAAAAAAAAACTCCAAAAGATAAATAATAATAATCAAGTTCTGCCTGCTTAAAAAAAACCCCACAAAATCCTTTAAAATCATGTCAAATAACACCTGCTTTTTTGTAAACAGGCAATACTGAGTAAGCAGGAATTCATGGTCCTATCTGGATGTTAATTGTACTTGGATATTTGAATGGGGTTAGGTCATAGGCCTAAAACACCCAAATACTTTAAAATACATTTATAAATAATCATTCTTTATACATCATAATTGTTCTTCCCACACATCAAAAACACAGACTTCTGTATTCCCCAAGGAAAAAAAAAAATGAAGGGTTACTTTTGCTTTTGGCCACAAGAATGTAAAAATGAAGAACAAGCACCACCCTTACGGGAGTGCACGGAATGCTATCAAATTGGTCTTTATTTGCCTTAGGGCTTTTTTTTTACAAAAGTTTTAAATATAGTTTGATATGTAAACACTGTGCACGCACTGAGAGCTTGATCCCGGCCCGTTGAAATCAATGGCAAATTTCCCATTAAGTGCAGCAGTGCAAGGTCAAGCTCCACGTTGGTAAGGTGTCTGCAGGCCTAAGTCATTGAGGGACTCAGGAAAGCAGGAGCCCAGGTGCTGCTTTCAAAACCAGCTGCCAGCAGAGTCAGACTTTGCTCCGAACACCTTCTTGCACATGTTGGAGTTTTCCTGGTGGAGAGGGTATTCATTCCCTGCCAGCGTGGCTGCCTTCCCCCTCCTGGCGGTGTAGCGCCTGCCAGAGGGCAGGCTCTCATACTTGGTCATGTGAGTCCTGCAAAGACACAGCAGCGCGCTCTGGCATCAGCAGCTCTGCGCAGAGCTTGCACCCCGTTACAAACACCTTGCACACAGCCTGGTGGCCCTTCCCCAGTGAGCAGATGTTCTAGTAGCTGCAGAATAGCAGACACTGTTTTCGTAGGATTTCCTGAAGGTTCTCAAAGTCTTTAAATCCTCTCAGGTTTTTAACCATTTCTTGGATGAGAAAAACCTGAATGGAAATCTGGCACAGGCTCTACAAATGTTATCTTCCTTAGGTCTTAGCAAATAGGGATTAGGAGAGAGCAGTATGCCCAATGAAGGCAATTTAATTACTATTATTTGGCTACTGAAGAGCATCTTTTAAACCTTACTACACAGTTGCTTAGTTTTCAGGAAAACTGATGCCTTAATAAAGCATGATGGAACACAATGGCTGCAGGAGTACCAGACCAGGTACTTTTGTTGACATGAGTAAATAGCAGATGATGAAGAGAACTTTCCACTTCAGCTCATGTATGGCTTTGCACTTCCTTTCTCAAAAGTATAATAGAGAACTAC